ACCATTTTGATCGCGAATTTCGAATTTGAAGTTAGCTCGCAGAGGGAAAGGTATAAGCAACCGTCAGCCTTTCTGGATCTCGACCTTAAGACATGCGCATCGCTTAGACAGGGTCGACGTGTTCTGTCACCAATCAGAGCTGCCTGTTCTCTTCAATCCTGAGCCGAAGGATCCTTTGTTGACAAACGAAGACAGAGGCAGTTATATGGCAACGTAGACTTTAGCTGAACTCGTGCAATGGCATTTCTGACGGTACTACACGTTGCATTCTCCCTCCATCCTCCAACAACTAGCTTACCTGCCACATACTCTTCCTGTTCCCTGTCATCGATAGGAGATCCATGACTGCATTGGGCAGATCCAGCTTATTGCTGTTTGAAAATTGTATTCTAGAATTCATATCGCAACCTGTGCAAACCAGTTACACGTACTGATGATGAATACTTGAGTCTCAGCTTGAGAGCTAGAGAGTTATTTCAAATAATGCATGAAATCATGCATTCTTATATAAAAATCGACGATTTTTCAAGCTCCACGTCCCTTGTTGAAGTCTCACTTCAAGTCTGATGATTTTTCAATAGATTTGAGCGTCATCTATAAATGGCGTATGTCGGAGCAAACATTGTCGCGTCGCTGCGTTCGGCCTTATGTCTGTGTTCCAGTGTTGATTTCGATTAAATTTACAGATTGGATTTTAACAAATCGGAAACATTCCTTGAAAATATGCCACGCCAAACTCCTGCGTCCAGTTTGAAGAAAACTTCGCGTGAGTCTTGATGCTGCCCTCAGAGTGTTCATAGTACGCCCTATGTGGTGAGAGCTTAGTTGTGAACTAAAGTGTGACTTTGTATGAAGTAGTTTTCGAAGAGGTATAGTGACCATGATGTTGCGACCATAGTGCATCAACGCCATTTTGTGTTCATTTTCTTGTGGAAATGCTCATATGCGTTGGCATATACTCAGCAGAACTTGCAATCAAAGCGTAGTATTAAGGGACTCCCTTTTGTTAGATGGCTATTTGGCTGCCGGTAGCAAACTAGCAGCGTGCATGAGTATATTTAATATCTACTCCATATTTAGGGGATAAAGAGCATTCATGAAGCCTTCGTGGATCAATGTATCCCATTTGAAGAATATGATCTAACGTTTTCCTCTCATCAGTCAATCAGGCTTCTTGTCTGATAGTGTTCCTATTCGCTATTCTGACTAGGCCTACAGACTTCGTAGAGTTCGCCCCAAAGTCTAGACCAAAATAGAAGAGGCGTCAATGCATTAATAGTATTGTTCACCATCTGTGAAATTGAGTTCAGGCTAGGCGTGGTCCACATCACCGCCGCTCTGATGACACCTCCAAGTAGAGGGACTGGGAGCTAGACTCAACCCAGAGAAAAATATTTGGTATGGATTTCAAGGATTAATCAGGAAACATCAGTTTAAGAATAAAACGTTTTGATCAAAAGATAGTCAGAAAATTGTATGTTTTCAGATCGTATTTGAAGTAATTAGATGCACATGACGCTGAGGCGATGATCTCCCTGGATTCCCATGCTCTTGCGGTGTACTTCTGATTTCATTCCGGATGTTTTGCTTCCACTGCTGGAGATTCTGATGGTTCGGACTGTAAATCCCCTCCTTGAGATGCTCTAAGAGAAAATCATCTCAGGAGACATGTCAAGAGAGTCTGAGGGTCAATCTTGAGAATCAAGAAAGGAGCCGGTAGAGCGTTGAAAGACTTCCTGCGCAAGGTTAATGGTAGCTACAGCTGTGTGAGGGTGGAAGTTCTTTTTGAAATCAGTGGTTTAGCTTCTTCAGCCTTTCTTGTTGGTTCTGTGCTTCTGAAAAATAATATTTCTGCACCATGTGACCGTGCATTGTAACAGTCATATTAAAGGCATGCCTTCTTAGGTTTCAGAAAAGTAATTCTGAAATTGTTATTGTTTCCACTTTGTTATTTCCACCACCATCGCAAATTTTGTATTTTCCCTTAATTCACAAGTGGTAACTTATTTCGTGTATTTCTAAAGCTGGAGGATGGAGGAAGGAGAGACGTCATAGCCCCGTGTGCTATTTCGCCAGAAGAGCTTGATATTGCGCCTGCAGTATTATCTCCAGCTAAAATGCTGTAGTTTTAGGTTGTTAATGTCTCAATTACAATACTTATTTCCGTTGATTTTTTTAACGATTATTTCCTCCCTGGAACAATTCTGCCGACACCATGGAGCACGCCACAGTCCCCGGGTTGAGAAACGCTGATCTAAGTTCAAGGACTATTTTTGTCAGCTTCGTGACTCTGAGCCCTTTGTTTTTGGAGCTCCGCCAGAAAAGGCTTATCTTAGCATGAAGATAGCGTCTATTCTTTTCCGGGAAACCATCTTCAGACTTGTATTTTTTAATTCCAAGTTGAGGATTGTGACTTGCATCTTCTAATATTTATGCAACCTTAAAGTATATAAATAAGACTACTGGAATAGGAACCTGATTAAAATATGAAATTCTCGCAAAATCAAATTTTTGCTTTGCTGTACATGTGACTGCCAATGAGAAGACGGACTTTCGCAATTATGAAAATGCTAAAATGTCGTAGGACGCGGTTTTTTTTATTACAAAAACTTCACTCTAACGTTGCCAGAGATTAACGCCCTGATGTAAGATTGCGAATTGAAGTGGATCGCATGATTTTTGTAAATTAGACCGTCAGAAAAATTACAGCGTATGGATTGCATAAGACGAAAAAGTACTGTCACCCGATTGGCCATACAAAGGGAAATATTTACCTCGGTGAAACAAATTGCTTCATTGCTTGAAGTAAACCCCTTAAAATAGATAGACATGAGCTTTTTCAGTCCTTCACAGTCCTTCACGCACATTTCTCTGAGTGTCCTTCAAGGTCACATTCCTCCATCGACTTCATCCAGACTGTCATAGCGTTCTCCGCGGAGCTCTTTCTTCCTGACAGGGAGCAGATAAGTCACATGCTCTCAGTTCTGGAGAGAACGAGATCACAATGAGGGGCTGGGATCCACATGAGGGGCTGGGATCAGGAATCATTCTCATTCGTGAAAATGAGGCTCTGCATGTCAAATAGAGTGTGGTTACAGTTTCGAAAAACTGAGGCTGGGAAGTGTTTCTAATTGTATCTTACTTACCGTATTCTCCAGATTGTGAGAATTTGCTGTAAAAATGAAGAACGACATCCGTGGAGAATGCTATGACGACCCATAAGAAGCCAATACAGAAGTGACATTCAAGGGCATAAAAAAAATGACCCTATGAGGGACTGAAAAAAATCGTGGATCGCTGGTCAGATGTCTCCAATTAAAGGGGAAATTCCCCAATGAAGCAACAGTTGGACCAAAACGAGTCATTCACTGTATATGTCTAACAGGGAGATAGAACTCATTAACCTTTTTAATATGGCAATGGAGTATGCTCGACTCCGGCACGTCCTGCCAGTATTACGGGTGACGAATATACTCGATCTCAATATACTGTATGAGCCGTTAGAGCGGCGATCGAGTATAGACGGATGGGTCCTCGTTTAGCGCGGTGTTGTTCAGGGATATCTTGAGCATACTGTTCTTTCAGGACATTATTAGAAGAGTATTTCATCTTTTTCTTTTGCCTTGCAGAAAGCTCACCAGTTAAAAAGTTGAGTCCCTGTATTCCAACGCAATGTCGCTTCCAAGTCCTGAAATGAAAAAGACGCCCATGTATGACGATCTCATGGACGTCATTAACATTGAACACTTAACCTTCCTTGACGATCTTCTCTTGCGGGGCCAGTGATCCCTCATTGTCGTCGCTGAGCTGTAGTGTCACAGCCAATAGTCAAAGAATGGCTTTCATGAAGTATGTATGATGTATATTTTCCTGTCTACTATTATCAGGAAATACAGAAATTATGTTTCTCACTATATATTCGGTCATAAACCTTCAGCAGGACGTGAAGTGGATGTTAAGTGAGAAAGTAATATATTATATGGAGAGCGAAACACATTGTATTTTCGAAGTTTTCTTTATTGTTGTACTGAAATGCATTTCTCTCTCTTTTTTTCACCACAATGATCACCAACATAAGAAAGAGCAGAAAGATGCAAACATCTCTCTGCTATTTTTGCCTTTGCACGTAAAGCTCACTTGTACTCCTCTCGGAAACACAAGACACTCCGGAGGAATACGAACCAATCTCATCTCTTCGCACGCAGCTCAATCAATAATACTGATTAGCATATCGGACCTCGTTGAGGCCGACACAAGTTGAGACAGAAATGAACGATGACCGAAATGCCGATCCTGGAATATCAGGCGATATGGGTATGTACAGTACATGATTTTCCCGTGGCGTTTTCGCAGTGTTACATCGAAAGAATTTGCGTAGCATCGCGTGTCATGAAGTAATTAGGATACCATAGTGAGAACATTGGAATGTGGAAACGCAAGTTGCATTCTTCGAGGTTCCAAGATATGGCACTTACGTGGACTGGGCCTGTGTACGAGTATGTGCGCTTGTGCATGTGTGGGAATACTCATGAAAAATACTCTCGGCACTGACTTCGGTCGAACTACACATGAAGATGAAAATGGGGGCTATATCTTATCGGCGAGCGGATTGCAAGGCCCAAACGTCGTCAAAACTCAAAGGTCAAGAAAAACAAACTTGAGCACCAGAGAGACTGGGAAACTGAACTTGCAGTTGCCTCCTCCTGTGAAATTAATATGCGCAAGTAGCATGTGAAAAGGAAATCTTTGGCTTTCGCAAACAAAACTTCACAAGGAGTCTTGATAATTTACAGACTCTATATTGGTTGTGCACTGGAAATAACGCTGATACCGGGGTGGGGCAGTTAGGCAATGCGACCTGGAGGAAAGTCTTCAGGAGGGAGAAAAGTGCGTTCTATAGAAAAAGAAGTTCCTCCTGGTCGCAACACCGCAACAGGAAGAGAAATATAAAGAAAAAATTAAATTGCAATAAAACATAGTAAGTGAAGAGAGATCTGAGGTCACTGCTTGAGGCCGTGTCCAGCAGCATGTCCATGATCAGACTGCTGCTGTTGTTGTGCCTGTCTCTGGCTATTTTTCTTATTCTTCATCCGCCGATTCTGGAACCAGATCTTCACTTGCCTTTCAGTCAGATTCAAGTTCCGAGCCAGTTCCCATCGCTTCTGCTTGCTCACGTAAGCATTAAAGAGAAACTCCTTCTCCAGTTCCAAGGTCTGGTATTTGGAATACGGCTTCCTCTTCTTTCTCACCGTCACGTTCCCCGTCCACTCCAATGGGTTCGTGCCCGGCAACGCCCCTGTCGGCAAAGCCGAATAAAAGCAAACTGCTTCAATCTTGACGTCTGTCCTCCGACATCCTAACGTGCTTCATCGATATTCATATCCCCAGTAACTGAACTGCAGCACTCTGCAGTTCGGTGACTTGGAACATGAAAATCGATTTTGCACTGCAGCAACAGCAATTGTCAAAAGACTTTCAGCTCAATCAGGTCATTCGGTGTTATTGCGATATTAAAAAGCCAAATTTAAAATTTTGAATGGCTTATGAGACTGTTCTATTGCAAATGTAATCAAATGATTTCTTGCACACCATTGTTAGACTGTTAACTTCAAGCGTCAAGTCATGGTTTTTCATTCACTCTCTTCGAAAACGGGATGAGTTCACAGCATTTAAACTGGAATGGTATTTGCAGTCACGCTTACTCCATCAGAGAGGTGTCATCATTAGGCAAATAGTGTTGGAGTCAAGTGATCCAAGTGAAACAGTAAACGTAACTAGCTTCAGTTTGCATACAAGTCTCTATTTAATATTTATATTACTGTTTGTGCATGATTTGTAAACATTTATCTACTTAGACTTGCTAGCATTTTCTCTCGACATCAGCACTTCTTCCGGCGAAAACATTTATACTCACCTCCATATATGTAAATGGGTAAAATTATTTACGGGAATAAGGAAAATACCTGACTAATGACTGGAATTGGGATCGCTTTGTTATCGAATGCCTTCCGTTCCTCGTTCTTCGTTGTCTTCTGATTCTATGCTAGGTCTGATAGTAAAATTTAAAAAAGATAGAATCTAACTGATGGAAGGTTGCATATGCCAGGAACATTCCTTATCCTACACTGAATGTAGACAAAGGGCTGCTGATAATTCATAGTTAATTTCAATGCACAGTGAGAATAGACCAAATATCATAGTATTAATCATGCAGAGGCTGAAAGACATGTCTATGAAAAGGAAAACTTTAACAAAAAGGAAATGGTTGCAACTTCAGAAAGAAAAAGATAATTCTTGGTGTCCGAGGGAAGCCGTTCGGCCTAAAAGTGAATGAGAAATGAAAACTGGACAAAAGGTTGCATTCAGTGATCACACTTAACTTCATGCTTGACTTCATGGGATACGTGTGATTAACCTTGCTATGCTCAAGCTTAGCTAGAATAGAGCTTCAAAAAGCACCATGGAACTTACTTTGTCATAACATGAAAAACCACGAAACAATAAAACAGGAAATAGAAAGGCTCACTGCAGACGCAGCCTTACAAAGCCAAAAAGAAAAATAGAAAAGGCAGCGTCAACAACGGTTGAAGAACATTTTTAAGTGATAGAACAAACCGATCTGTTCTTGGCTTTTGAAGGATGCAGCCTACAATTTGCCACTGAACGTGTAAGCACCAAGCAGACTTGGCTGTGGTCAACGATGTTGTTGACCAGAACTCGAGTGACTACTGAATTACGGATGAAAGTTGAAAATAAAGCGGACGATAAGTAAATAATTATTAGCTCATGATTCAGTATTCTCATACTCTTGAATTTTTCTTCAACCTCATGAATTTGCAATGTTTTCAAATTCGGGAAAGTTTCATTCAGTATTTTCAAATTTAAGACATTTCTGTTTCGATAATGTGAGCGGCACCGCTGACCACACCCTGTCATCCCCATTACCTCAAATGACTTTATATCGAAAGATTGTTTTGCGATAAGAGAAAGGAAACTAATCATACTCGAAAAGCACATTTAGGCGATGATAAGGGATGGGATTCTCATCAGCAGCTTTTATGTAAATCCAACATGCATATTGAGAAAATTAGGCGACATCTGTGTCGCGCGGAAAGAACAAAAGTTTTTATGGGATATACTGTAGAGTGTAGGAGCGCTCGGTCTCGTTGCTTCCCCTCCGCGTAGTCCCCGCTATATGGTCACTGCCTTCTGCAGTCAGCCTATGGGAGAGCCGGTTTAGGGATAGCCTTCTCCCATAGGTGCCTCCCCGAGCAGAAGCCAGATGGCTTGATAGAGTATGACACGGTTCCCTACGATCGCGTTATTTCCGTAGAATGCTAATAAAAAATTATCGTCTAGTCTTGTGATATGGATATACTTGGGATATGGAACATGTGAGGAACAACTGCTCTGCATATACTTTGCCGGGCCGAAAAAGATAGCAGTTTAATTATTATTACAAATAAAAACTTAGCCCATATTTTAATGTATGCGCGAGTCATATCACAAGGGAAGACTATTTGGATGTTACCCCATTAGAGGATCATTGAGATGTTTGCTTAGCACTGAAGATGGAATCGCATAAGATTTAGGGCTTTCCGGCATTCGTGCCGGACAGTAAGCTCATCACCTCGCATAGTGAATGGATTACTTTGCAATACATTTCCATATTCCTGCGAATTGAGTCTCCATAATTGTATGAGGCAGAGAGAGGAGCTCCAACTCATTATTCGCTCGTTGTTGAACTGACAGGAAATGGAAAACTATTTTTTTTAAAGGCTTTTTAAGAACACGCTCTGCGATGGCTTCCCCGTCGCCTACGTGTCGGTAAACGATTCCCATACTGACAGGCCTGCGTCTTGGGGCATTCAAGTCTGGTCACGAAGAAAAGCCATGCTCATCATCTGAGTTTCTGGATGCACTACAATATATGTATGGTATTAAGAGGTCTTCACGATATGTCAGTTCATTTCTCTTTACCAATTCCATCGCGATTGCCATACAAGCAAGAGACGGTTGTAGAAAGAAACATTAAGTCTTCAACTGCAAAGAGTCAGTTTCAGCCATAATTCCTAGTTCCATTCCAGGAGTAGTGTACTTTTGGAAAATGTAGCCATTTCATGTGTCATGACGCGAAGAGGACGGTTCCTCTTACATGAGAGTGTAGAACATTTGAAAATGTTTATATTCGTGGTGATAATAGGGTAGGTTCTAATTAACAATTGATATTACCATCTCGAAGCATGGTTATCTATAGATATTGCATTAAAAACTACGCATCATGGTTTCGAAAACAAAGACTTTGGACAGCATCGAGTGGGATACGAGGCTGAGATGGAGGAAGCGGTGAAGTGACGTGCATCTCATGGCCTTCAACCTTTCACAATCCCAGCATCGCGATGAAGGACGTTTTATATTGCTTATGCAGCAACTATGAGAAAGTCGCCATGAAGAAAAATCACATGGGTTTTTATAATTTGGAAATGAAAAAGCCGTCCGAATCGTAGGCCTACTAAGATACGCGAGCTAGCAAACACGATGCTGCCACCTAGCGACGAACTCGATCCCCATGCAACTGCTTGTATGGTACCACACACTAGAGAGCCTAAAAGACTCTGCCTCAGCTCGAGGATGCGTTGCAAAAGAGACTTTGCATACGCGTGGAAGGTTTTTCCAAGGTGGAGCTCGCATTTATTTAAGCAAATCATAAAGTAGAATGTGAATGGCCTGGTTTTCGGTTTTTTATGCCAGCTGGAGTCGCACTGAAATTGACATCTGAAGAGTCTTCTTCCCCGATGAGAGTATAAAGTGCCATAAATAACTTGAACTGCTCTTCAAGATAGAGGAAGACTCCTGAATTACTTTCGAAGCACTTGCTTGTATACCTGGGAGCTTCAATGTAGAATTACTGGTGTCGAGTTACTATGTGAGTATTATACATCTGATTGAGGGGAATGTCGGAGTCCGGCCTTGGAAGCGCCTCCTGCCTTCGAAGGGAAAGCCTGTCTCATAAATAATGTTTGGACCTTCGCAAAAAAAAGGCTTCCAGACTGATAGTCATTCCTTTACGTGCCTGGCGGCATGTTCCATGTGTGACCGCATTCCACAAAACTCGCGAGCATCAAGACACGCGAGTTCGTCGGAAATAAAGCACTTTTGAAATTAGGAATGTTTTATATGGTCCTGGTATGACTTCTCCTAAGAGTCGCAATGGACGGAAGGCCATAAGAAAGTCGAGTAAATAATCGTTCTTTCATTACGATATTTCTTGTTAACCCGCGTTGGTAAAGTGTCGTGACTCCGCTTCAGTGGTCAACACCGATGCAGATGTAAGGGTTTTCCTTGGTGGACTCATGCAACTTGGCGGACTCATGCAACTGTATTTGACTGAGCCCGCCAGCACGCGACCGCCTGACAATAGCCCTACCTTCGGCAGTTAGCATAACAGATGTGTGAGATGTGTGTTTGCCTACGGATGTCTGGAGAAAACAAATGGAGGCGATCATGGATAAAGCAACGATGACATCGTTGATACCATGCATGCCATCTGAAGAATTCTTAATTGCAATCATCCTTCTGTCATACATATTCTTCCGTCGCGGCGAATGCGTTCATGCCTTAATTTCCCCCCTTCACTTTCTCTTCATTCTCTGAAACAATCCTAAAAAGAACGAAATATTTCATCCCTCAGGAGATTTCGGAGATTGAGTCTTCAAAAGTGCGCTACTTACGAAACCACTGGAAAACCTGCAGGTAGTTTGAAATCAACGCCTAGACTGATTTAGAAACTACTGTATCTACTGTAGAAGATTTTCAGATTTCCTTCTAGGTCAGAGCCGCAAAGGGGAGAGAAAAAAAAAAAGAACAATCTTGGTTCTTCGTTTCTCTGCAGGAAGGAATGATGGTGTACGCAGTACAATACTTATCTATCGCTATAGTGGTCTGTCTCTGCAAGCGAATTCTCCTGTCTCAGATTAGCGAATGGTTAGGTGCGTTAAAAAAGGTGACGAAAATTCCACCTGAAAGAAAGATGAACGAATGCAAAAGAAAACGATGCTACGAATTGTCAAGCGTAACAGATTAATTGTTACTTAGTACGTTATCACACGATACAAGACAATCAATCAACCGGTGAATGATCAAAAACGAGTGAAAAAGTTCAAATTCATGAAAAATAGAAGCTAAAATATTGTTTTGTTCTCCGCAATAATGGTAAAAAACATCTCGAAGAACTTCCCGCCGAAAAACTTCCCATAGATAAGAAAACTTCCTTTAGATTTCGCTAACCCTTTCTCTCATCTTGGGGACGAAAATCGATGCTGATCATTGAAGAAGGAGCCGACAAAAGGAGAGAAAGGGAGAACGAAAATGCCAAAGAATTCCTTTCAAGGCGTTATTGAGGCTCTATAATAACATCCTTTTTTTTTCTCTCCCCTGGATTTTACGACTAAAAAAAAAGAAGAGGTAATTTCACGGAAAGAGGACTTAAGAAAGGGTGTTTGAGAGGAAAAGAGAATCGGGTGCTCTTTTGTGGTCTCGCTTGATGACTGCATGCCGAACCCAAAAGAGAAAAAGTCAAGGAAAAAGAAAAAAATGGGATGGAAAGGTTTTATACTGAATGTCGCAATATGCCCACGTTCCTCTTGTGCTCCTTGAAAGAAAAAAGAAATTGCTCAAATTTACATCTTTCCTATCTGTCAATAGCCTTCAGGAATATTGTCATACGTGGCAATATATTGCCACATTCTGCAATGCAAATTATCATTTTATGGAGGCAAGACTATCGCCTCACAGCGCGTGCCTTGACCTCACCCGATTCTTGAGTTTTCCATGCGATGGACTACGAGAGGACTCATGGAATCGAACCGTTTCAAGCTCTACGAGTCTGCTGCTTTGAGGAATGCACAGCGACTATATCTCTGAAGATACTTTCAGATTTTTCCTCAATTTTCTTTGGCTGCTGATTATCTCTCTGGATCATGCTAAGATCGTGACAGGGAAGCAGACCTGGTAACCCTGAATTAGTCTTGTTTCGAACGTGACTGTGCCGACTTTCTTACTAATGGAAGACTGCAGGATTTCATCGAACGCACTGCAGCAAAAGAAACATCCCCGAATGGCCGAAATTGTCTTTCAGCATAAACCGAGGTGCATAGAGCAAGACGAGTCTCGCTGCAGCCATCCCCTCATGGCGGTGCACGGGGAGGCCTTGGGGGAGGAGCCTGACGTATCGCCGGTGTGACATATCTGCCTTTTATCTGCAGGGTTCTTGACAGCTGTCTGCTTATTCTAGGGAGGGGTCTCTTTCTTTGCTATTCGAATCCTATACGCTTCATCAGACATATAGGACATTATGCAGGGTACAATAAAATTGTCTGACACAGTTGTGCAGTTCCGTCAATAGGATTATATGAGCATTGCGTGATTGATGGAGTCCCTTCTGTCGGGGCGGGATGTTCCAAGCGAGTCCGGTCTCTTTGCTTGGTCTAATGGGAAGAAAATGGCTAGGGACACGATGTCATGAAGTCTTGTTTCTGTCCTCCAAGATATTGGTAGCGTTCATCCGGATTTCCTAAGTTCCAAGTGCAGAGCCCACCAACGCCTGTTTATTTCTATCGTTTGGAGATGCCAAACTGGAACCCAGAGGATCGTTTCCTCTTTGTTTCTCAGAAAGGAAAGCAAGAAACTTGTACTGCTGGGACCAACACTATTTCTTCAATGCTATCCATGGAGCCAAAAATTGGCTTTCGCTTGCGATATCCTCAGAAAATTTCAGGGAAGGATTCAAAAGTGTAGTCCTGAGTGTTTTCGTATGGATTATGTATGCAATGAAACTACCGAGCGCTTCGAAAATGAATGAAAGTTTTGACTTCTTCCGAAATTATTGCAAGCGAAATTTAATTTGGTTCAGTCGAGAAGACATGAGCTTATTCTATTCGTATTAGCTATTCCGTAGCGCTAGAAGCATGTACGGGACCTATTACGTTTCCAGAACTTTACCGATTCACGATTGCTGGAGAATAGAAAAGGACTGTATCAGATGTGGCAAGCTCAAGATATTGCCTATCCACAAAATTAATTTTTCTCCTAATATTTCTCTCCGCCGTCAATTCCACTCAGATGCTGCTACAGGTTGCTGACAAGATTTTTCCAACTCGCGAATAATGTGAACATTCGTTGCTCACACTACCTTACATCTTAACGTCTGATACTTTGACCAACCATTGATAAATTACCCCTAACATTCACAAGTTCTGTTCTTCTCCGCGCTATATCCTATTTTCTCTGTCTTGCCGCATGTCGGACACAATTTGCAAATCCAGTTCCCTTAGACGTGTGATTGAATATTAAAAACATTTATCCTTGCAGCGCTGGAAAGACCAATGCGCTTGGACAGCGTTCGTTTTCAAATAAGATCGTTCCCTTCTCTCTCCTGCCGTAATTTTTATGCGTCGAGAGAGTAGAGAAGGGAAGCTTTGTTTCACCATAAATGACTAGTTCTGGCTTTCTCTTACAGTTGTGAGCACGACGGTCACTATAAATTTGGGCTTGCAAAGAACAATGTCCCCCTTTGAGATCTGGCATCTTGAAGCCAGGAACTTTACCACTTTCAAAAATGTACTTCGATGGTTTCAAAGGCAGCTCAATGACTTCATTATCTCCAAAAAAATTCTATTTTCACCAAAAAACGTGTCAGAGAGACGAAGCCTATTGATGACATCTGCAGAGTGACAGGAAAGAGAATGAGAGTTTAATTGCGCCTTTAACGGACTTAGGATGACGGCTGGAATGCGCAATTGCGCATTCCAGCCATATGCGTATTCCACATCAAACGTTACAGCCTACATGCAACTTATAAAACTCAGTTGCGATCGGAACAGATTCATGATTGACGTCAAACTCCAAGCCATTTTAGATGTTGCCTCATCGTCTCATTATATCGAGACAGATGCACATTGCAGAACTATGAAAGTTCTGAAAAACCTCAAATCCTTCATGATTGCGGTGCCCAATAGGGGAAAAGCATGCCTTCCGATCACGTACACTATAAGTGACTGGACAGAGGTGGATAGTGCGATTGACTGGACACCGGAAAGAGGCGCACCGAAGGGTGTGTGGGTGAGAAACTGGAAAACCGTAAGTAAAAGAACTAGCTGGACGGTGCACGGTCATAAAAATGGCTAAGGGTCATGAAACCCGCCCTTACCCTACTGCTGCTTTCCTGCCTGTTTTGTGTCTGCGAAATCTATTATACTTTGCCTCCTTCTCATCTCACCTTGAAACTCCACAGCTGAATATGCATACAATAGAGGTTGCTAATATTTGGGTTGTCCGTAAAATGGCATCATCCTATCCTCTCTACAATATCAGGAGACCGGTTTAAATTTCGGTTTAAATGGTATGGGGTTATTTCAATTAAAAACTTCCTCATCTCAGCTATCGCAATTAATGACGTAAAATATAAAACATCAAACTTAGGTTGGAAACAAAACATACAAAAGAACTTAAAAGATTTTTTGTACTACATTTATTGGGGATTCATTCCAGTGGGAATAATTCATGCGACGGTCTCGTACTAAATTTCATCTTTCCCCCCCTGATTTTCGCATTGGCAATTTTTTAATAAGTGGTTTGGCTCGTGGCAAATATTTTTCTTCCTTTCCGCGACGGACTCCATCTCCAACTTCTTTGAAGACATTGATCGAAACTATAGGCCTACTCTCTCGTAAACACTTTTGCTGAGAAAAAATACTCAAGAATTGCACGAGTAAACCTTAGGGTATGGCGATGATGCTCACCTGGAGGATAAGCCGAAGGAACGGCGTCGGCCCCCGTGCCGTAACCTCGGAGTGAATATCCATCGGGCGTATAGGCTGCAGCAGATTCCAGGGCTCTTCTCCCGTCATCACCGAGGTACGTAGGTACCCCGACACCTTGGCTAGGTGCACCGTGTCCATCCACACCTCTGGCGTACGCTGCAGCTGCCGAGTAATTGCACCAAGTCTGTGCAAACGAACCCGCACATCCTGTCGGATCACTTGCACTTCCGCCGGTGTACTCGTATTTCTGTGGCCAGAATGTCAACGCCGGGGGTTTCCGTTCCGCCGCGGCGTAATAGGTGGGAGACTGATTGGTATATTGGGTCGGATCGAAGGAGTTGGGGGTAGGCGTAGACTCCACCGCATTACCACCGGTGGAGGTAGGATACGGTCCCCACGATCCTTGAGCCCCCGTTCGCAGGCCTGGTGGGGTCTCGTTTCCCACACAGTCCGGCGTTGGGGCGGATCCCGGGTACGAGGCCAACGTTGTGGAAGGTCTCTTTGCTGGGATGTGCAAGGGGCCGCCGGGTAACGCCGACCCTTCCAGAACGGCTCCAGTCCCGCCGGTTCTCGAACCGGAACTGTCGTCAAACACAGACCCATTCATGGTTTTTTCTTCACTCGGGATCCATATGCACTCGTAGAATCACCACATGTCCGACCACCCGAAAGCTGCCTATACGGAAGGAGACAAGAAGAAATGAAGGGTGAGGAGACTTTTTTAAACATGTCGCACACTGGGCATGGAAGCACGCTTGTAGGAGTAATACCATTTGCGTACAAGTTCTAACACAAGTGCACACAGGGATTGGTCTCGCTATTGTTTCACTGTAACACGCGGTTTCTTTTCCCTAACCCTCGTGTTTGTTTCACGGGGAAAGGGAAAAGAAAAAAATTTTTGTAGTCGGGTTTTACGACAGGTTGCAGTAAAAGAGATGATAGTGGGAGATAGGGGCAGGAGAGCACCTTTTCGTCGTGGAGGACTTAGAGCACCACACTGCTAGGACCTGAGAGGGGCATCCTTTTCCCTCTTTCCTATCTCAGTCGATGCACGACAGCACTGGCGCACAAGTACCACGGATGCGCGATCCCGCGCGCGCAGGCAATAAGAAACATTTGCCCCTGCCCTTCTCCAAACAGTTTCCCCTTCTAAAATTGGATAGGCCGAGACGGATTTGCATATCTGGAATTATCGATAAGACTGATAAAAATTCAATGTGAGTCATGTCCGGTTCGCCTTGACAGGGAGGCGAACCGGGCCCGCCATCCGACATCCCTGTTCCAGGACGGCAAGTGATTGGTCCGCGGCAAAGCACATGAGGGGGATGGTCGACTACGGTCGAATAAGGGACCCTATGAGAAACCTCTCCTCCCTCTCCACTTCTTTCCGTTTCCTCCCTTCCAGCTCTCTCTCCAGGCACGTACTCATCATAGCCTGCCGTATACTGATAGAGAGACAGAGACATCCCGTGTAACTTTCCGTAGTTCCATTAAAAGTTCTACATCATTGCCGCTAAGAGTCTATGAAAATGCAAACAGAAACGGTGATCGCACTAAAGACGCCGTGTTACGGTTGGCCAAAACCCATAAAAGGATTCAGGTATAAACTGAAACAGCCCATCGGTTCTGAAGGCCCTTTTCCTTCTCAACATTGTTAGCAGCCAATACGTTTCGTTTTCATTTCATGTTTGCCGTTTTCATTGTCAATAATGGCAGTTTTTACTTCCGAAACTCTTTTCCCTTCTTTGCATTCCTCCCGTAGTGATAAAAAACGGAAATTTTATCATTTCGATTCTTCGATTTTTAGTGTCTTTCATGAAAATACAGAACTTTTTTTTTTTTAAGGGAATAAAGGGGATGGGAAGTGATAGAGAAGCGATGAAGAAAAAGAAACGGATAAAAACAGAAATAAGTTACAATATGTTGCTTAAGACTATTCATTTGCCTACTTTCTTCTCTACTCTTAGGTAAATGCTTCCAGTGTTTATTGACGATCTCCGAACGGTTGACGAATGAAAAATCGAGATTCACATGGCAGGGGCGGAGGTTGAGGTCTAGGACAGGGTCCGACATCTCTTAGTTGGGAAAGAAACTGTAGTATCGATAGCGGCCGATAGTTGGCAGGAACGTACGGAGAGCAAATGAGTGCTCATAAAACGGAGTAATCGACATTTCTGTAAAGGGCCTTTCTCCTTCACAGTGTAAATGTAATCGTTTCAAAAACTCGTGGTGGGACACGCGATTATTTTCAACAAAGTAAAATTAAACAGTCGAAGGTGAAATTAATCGTTCGCATGAGACTTCAACCACTTTCTTCAACCCGTATGGTTTTCCTTCCTATGAAGTTTTCCTTGCAAGTTGACTTCCTGAAAAAAGTTGCTAAGAAAACATTCTTGAGTAGACGAGGTCTAAGAAATTGGCTCGGAATAGTTGAAACTGAAATGAGAAAGTGGAAAGTTTTTCATTCTTTCCTCTCGCTGAAAAAAAAAGAACTCAGGAATTACCGCTGCATGATAATTTAACGCCACTGTCAACCTTCATGACGTAATTGAGATCAGCAACATTGCTGGAGTTCTACGAGTCTTTAGTTGAAACATTAATAATAAAAACTACTCTCCACGAGTATTGTAGCATTCAGTTCTATTTGCTATTCCTTTTTAGGTAAGACCATTTAAATACTCAACTTCCTCGCTAAAAAATATTACATACGGTAGGAAATTCAACTGTGCAAATGAGTTCACATTAGGATATACCTATATATATCAAAAGGTTACATGGTTCTGATAATCACAGGTGCCCGTGACAGGTACAATAAACTCCGTCTGCGAATAAATGGCAATTTGGGAATCAGTCATAATACGCCGTATTATGACTAGTTAATCAGGCCCACACTTCAACAGCAATTGCTCTTCTCGAAAGATAATTAGTTCCGTCCTCTGTACGTTGCAAATGGAACTCTATCATCTATACTTTTAAATCTTATTTCTCAATACACTAGAGGGTCCGTCAAAACAAGAGATTCCCGACTATTAACCGATATTGTTCATCTCTGATCTTACTCAAACTATTTTCGCGAAACTTAGCATGAGCATAAATGTATATGATCTCAACGGTCTCCTAAATTTCCTCAAAATTTGTTTTGCCAAGGGAAGGATATGAGCGATTATTTAAAAGTAATAGGAAATTGAAAATGAATGCTGATCCCTAGTTCCTTCCGGAATGACCAGTCTCCGGCTTGCTTTTCCTCCAACATAATGAGGAAATTGAAAAAAAAAAACATGGAGTAAACTCTCTGCATTGATACCTCTTGCTTCATCAGTTATTATCCGAATGAAAGGCTCATCGAAATCATTTGTAGCAAAAGGCCCGCCTTAAGAATTAACTTTAAAGAAGGGATGTCGATATGGCCTAGATGATACGCAACCAATGAATCCATTTCTCCATTTCACTACTAACACAGGGTCCTGTTCATGTTCAATATCAAACGCCTATTGAATAATTGTTCATAGCCTTGCCTCGGCACGACTTCGAATGGAATTTCACAAGCCTTTCGGGAACGTATTCGCCTATGAAAAGTGCGAGCTTTATGGAAGTAAAACATACCGAGGATATTATTCTTTCCTTTACCTGTGCTTTTTTTCAATCATCAGGCACACGAGAAAGCTTGAATGCATATTTATTCATCAATTGAAAACATCCCTAATGGCATCCATTGCATCGTCTTTCTTTGCTTGCCCACGACTCTTCGCTGTAATACGCCGAGCCTGTTCACCTTCAATACCACTATGCCAAACCAGCCACGCCTCTAAGTAATCCTCAGTTTCGGACACGTGCATGGGTGGATCATTCACGCTGATGAATAATAGAGTGGACACATGGTGATCAATAGGGAATTCCTATACTACCAGGTTCTGTGGTCGAGTAGTTAGGGCCTCTCAATCAAACCCGGGAGCCTTGCGTGGGATCGAGTCCGGGCAGCTGCAAGCCCATCAGCAACAGGCGAAACACCTGCATTCTGGTTAGTGCCTGTCTAGCGCTGGGATCGCACAGACGCCACTATGGGTGTCATGTCTAGGAGATACGGGTGAAGTACACCGTGAAGGTTGCTCGTCTCATTCACATATGGCCCTACAGGACCGTGGAGGGGGGTCTTAGCCCGAAGGACTGTGATTGGGTGTGGTGCTTGTGAAAAGCAGACACCGCCTTTCTTTCTGTGTTCCGTAATTTTAAAACGTCTCATGTTTTATATGTCCTCCTCAAGTCCTGTCTTAAAAAGGGTTTTCCCTGAAGGAATTATAATGCTGTTCATGGCACTGAAGCATTTCCTGCACTCAACTCTGCTTCCAGAGATAGCATCTAGGCATCTCTGGAGATGAATGAGATGAATTGTCAATGAAGTCTCGCATCCACTGGCCCTGGTAACGTCTGGCTTGAGCTCATTAGACCCTATTCGCGCGTCTTGTTCCAAATTTATTTGTAGAATTTGCAGAATTTCTTTGAAGTTTTATTTAATGATACGGGGCAAGAGATCTACGCATGTACCGAATGGGTACTAGCACACAACTGGCAATAATTGACAATCGTACTTTACAAAGAGCGATCTACAAATGGCTACGTCATAAGTGCACAAATGACAAATGAATCTTCCTAGGTCGGGAGTGACCAAATGGCGATTCTTAGCAAGTTGCCTGCAACTCTCGGCAAGAACACAGACGAGAAGAAAAATAAAATAGATTGCAATTTTTTTCTTTTTTACATGTGCCGCTGTTCACACATCATCCATAACCTCTCTCGGGCACATAAATCGTACAGAAGCCTGTTTGCACAGCTTAAATTAGGAATTCTCAGTACGACTACGAACGGAGTTGAAAATTTTCCATGTCGGAAAGTGTTTGACAGTTTCTATAATTGATTAATCTCCGATTCTGCTGTGTGCGTTGGTGCCACTGGTCAGGTGCTACTCTCACACATGGCGATGAATGCAGATGTTCTCGTCGTCTTGAATAAAAAATTATTTCTCATGAGGCATTTGCGACTTTGCAGTATGTCTGAGAGCCGCATCCATGGCTGTCAATCATGATTGGATCGGTAAACCCTTCCATAGTACCTCGATTTTTTTTTCGGAGGAGGGGTATTGGCGGCAGCAGACAAAGGCGAATTCAGCGTGTCAGAGAAACTACTTGTATATTCGAATAAATTAAAATAGGCCTACTGGCCTGTTTACAGTAGTAGAGTTTACTCTTGCCGTGCAAAATACAAAAATAAGGTGCATGCGTGGCCTTGAGGTGACTGCCTGACAGATCGGAGTTAACAGGCCTTCGTCTTAAAAGAAGAGTATGGAGAACGTTTTTTGATAATACAGGTGTAAAGAAGCAAAGCGCATAAAAGAATTCCCAATGGCGTTTTGGGTTAGTAGTTGTCCAGAGCCTAAGCAAGTTGCAGAGTGGAATGTTTATACAAGATATTACACGATGTTGACCTTTGATTCGATTCAGGCAAGATGATAAAGGCAACAAGGGATGCAACTCTCAACTAATCCTCAGAAGGGTAAGTTGGGAGTGTTGTAGTTATGATTTTGCTTATTTCATACAAGTATCTTACAGGCTTCCTGCTGGGTTACTACGTCCGGTTGTCAAAGGCCCATACAGAAACGAGCATAC